TCCTCCTGCTCCTGCTCCTGCTCCTGCTTCTACTTCTCCTCATCATCCTTCCCTTCCCCTCCTCCTCCCTCATCCGCCGCCTCCACCCTTCCTCTTCCCCCCCCACTCCGCTTCCTCCTCCGCCTCCTACCCCCCCCCCGCTCGTTTTCGTCGTCGTCATCGTCTTCAGGGTCGGCGGCACCGGCCGTAAGACCTTCGCAATATCCAGCTCACGTGGCGAAGGGTTTGCGTACGTCTCTGGCAATTCATGATTCACTATCCAAGTGGGCGCTGAGACCCCCCCAGGGCATTTCTCAATCGTTTGGCCGAACTGCTGGAAACAAGCAGTATCGAATATCTGGGGATCCTGAGGAATCCATTGTGAATCCGTGTGACTCCATGCGCAAACCGAACGTCTTGCCCGTCCAGGCCACTAGTGAAATCCGTAGGAACCCCTACAAATCCTTATGAGTTGCAAGGATCCCTAAGGATTTCACGACCTGGGAATCTCTAGGAATCCTTAGGAATCCCAAGGGACCCGGAGGAATCCCTAGGAATCTCTGGGAATCCCTCGGAACCGATCTCTGGGGATCACCAGCGGCGGGGGCGGGTCCCGACGCGGCGCCCTCATCCGCCCCCCGCCGCCACGTCGTGAGGGAGAGCCTCGGCGGCCAGAGCGGCGCCCCCTCGGGGAGCAGCTCGCATCGGCCCCCCTCCTCAGCCTCTCGGCTCGAACGAGAGGGGCCCTCTGCCCAGTGGGGCTCAAGATTTCCAGACGCTCCAGCAGCGGATTGCGCAGCCCGCGCACGAGAGCTTCCCACAGAGACTAGCACCCCAGACGGACCGAGAAATATGGCCTGGCCCCAGAAGCAGAAGCGGCCACCGCCTCAGGGAGAGGCCCTGCTGGCGGACGCAGCCGTCTACGGTGGCGGTGTCCAGCAAGCCACCTGCCTGCAGGTGCGCGGCGGAGGCTGATTGGCTCTATGCGCTAAAAGAGCGGGGACTGACATCGAAACTGACACAGACGAACAACGTGGACGGAGGTAGTACCACCAGCAACGCCCTGGGTGCAACTCGACGGTGGAACTTGGACATGTGCTGCTTAATGTGAGGCGCTGCATGACCGTATAATTGGAAGCGAGTGGGAGAAGGAGAGGGAGAGGATCGAGGAGTGGGAAAACAGAGATAGGGAGAGCGAGAAACCACTGTTTGCATATACAGTTATATATGTACAGATCAATGAACAACACAAACAAACAGAAACGGGGTCAGGGGAAGCGACGCAGAGATTACGAGAAAGAGAGCGACTTGTGGCATGCACTGTGACCAGGGGACAGCAGCAAGAGCACGAATGACAGGTACTGAGATATGTGTATACATAGATACATATATAGAGAGCGAGAGAGAGGTGCAAGGGGGGGAATTAAAGAAGCAGAGAGAGACATACGTATACTGCGTGCTACCGTATGATCAGGTAAGGTGTGGGGGGGGGTACCAAGAAGAGGGGATACGTCTCAGTGTACAACTGCCGATGTGTACAGCGATACACACATGCGGAGAGATGGGGACACACATACATGTAGATAGATGAATACATAACGTCTAACGGCCGTAGAACAGTACGCACATATGATACTATCTATATATATATATATATAAGTTATGGTCCAGGGTCTGGCTCCCACCCCCGACCCCTCATACAGATGTCATCGCCCCACCCCTCCCACGCGATGGCCAAGTGTGGGGTGGTGGGTGGTGGTTGTGGTGGCGGTGGTCGGACTCTCCTAAGTAGGAGGAGAAGGAAGATGAGGAGGATGATGATGAGATGAAGAAGGAGGACATCAGACGACGAGGAGGAGCACGAGGGAGGGAGGGGGACGGAGGGAGAAGGAGAAGCAACATCGTCGTCGACGATGTCTTCCCCGTCGTCGCCTCCCTCTGGGTGTGGCGTGGTGTTGCGACGCTTCGTCATCGTCGTCAGCGTCCCCCCCATCTCATCTGGGGGGGGGGGGCCCGAAAGACCCCGAGACCCATCCCATCTCGGGGGGGGGGGCATGGGCCTGGAACCAGGGATCATACATCCGGAACCGTGCCCTGAAGGCACGAGCTGTAGTGTCCTCATGTCCCTTGCGTATCCACTGGAGCCTCAGTCCTCAACATTGAGGATTCTTTTCGGGGCCCAGACCCCGAATGCACAAATCTCTTGGGGCTTGGCGCGTGGCGGGGCGTGTTGTCGCATGACTTTGCTCGGGCCCAAGAGAGCCCCAAGACGGGCGAAGAGGGCCGAAAGAGGCCCCCAAGACTGTCCACGAGGCCACGGGGTCGCCGAAAGCTCGCTCCAAAACGCCCCGGATGGCCGCAAGACACCCCAAGATGCGCCCAAGACGCCCCAATAGGCCTCAAAGAGGCCTCAAAGGAGCCTCCTAAGAGAGCTTACAGAAGCAGCAATCAGTGATTCTCCTTCGGTGTTTGACGGATTAAGCGTTCTCGCCTTTTCGGCTTCCCGACGCTCCAGGACGGCACAAGAGGCACCCAAAATCGCAGAGACGGCCCAAGATTCTTTCAGGAACGCCCCAAATCGGCCCAAGAGAGCCCCAAAACAACTGGCGAGGCGCCCAAGACGGCCCAGGAGGCGCCCAAAACGGCTCCAAGAGGCGGCCCCGATGGGGGACCCGAACGAGCATTTCGAGCCCTCAGCCCCGAGTGGCCCCCACCCCAGGAGGTCCAAAGGGGACCCAAAGAGGGCCCCCAGAAACCCCAAGAGGCCCCCAGAAAGCCCCAAGAGGCCCACAATAGTCTGAGGTTCCCAGGAGGCCCCAAAACTGCCCCCAAGAGGCACCCGAGAACGCTCCGAAGGGACCCCGAGAAGCATCTCTGAGAACCCTGACCCACAACCCAGGCTAAGTGGCGGGATGGGCTAAAAGCCATTCGAGAGCAACACACAACAAATAGGTTGACACGTGACCTTGTTGCCCGTTCACCAAAAAAACGCTTGGTCAATGCCTGTCCTTAAAAAAGACAGCCCGTGACCTTGTTGCCCGATGATAGCAACCTCCCCCCCCCAGCAACCAGCAACCAACAACCTCGGGCTCCATTCATCTCCGCTGTAACTTCGCCTGCTTAAGGGTGTGAACTCCTCATTCATGCAATGCCCCCATGTCTGCACCAGCGAAGCTCCGGAATCGATCGGCTCCTATATTATCCTACAGAATTACATAGGAATCCTACAAGAATCTTCTAGGAATCCTATAGGAATCCGATGAGGGTCCTATAGGGATCATAAGAGGATTCTCTAGGCGTCCTATAGGGATCCTATATGGATCCCATTGGGATCCTATAGGAATCCTACAGGACTCCTACAGGGATCCGATGGGGATCCTATAGGGATCCTATGGGGATCCTATGGGGATCCGATGCGATCCTATAGGAACCTATAGGATCCGATAGGGATCCTGTAGGGAGCCAGAGCGATCCTATAGGAACCGATTGGATCCCACAGGAATTCTATAGGAATCCCATGCAATCCTGTAGGATCCTATGAGAACCAATAAGATCATATAGGGAGTCAATAGCATTCCCATGCGACATGTAAGATCCTATAAAATTCCAAACGGGTTCCATCGGAATCCCGTGCGATCCCATAGAATCCTGTAAGATCCGATAAGGCTCCTATAGGAATCCCATGCGATCCTGTAAGATCCGATGGGAGTCCTATAGGGATGTATTGGAATCCCATGCGACCCTGTCGGATCCTATAGGGATCGTATAGGGATTGTGTAGGAATCCCATACGACCCTGTAGGACCCTATAGGAATCTTATAGGGATTGCATCGGAGTCCCATACGATCCGATAGGATCCTATAGGAATCGTATAGGGATTGTATAGGAATCTCATGCGACTCTGTGGGATCTTATGGGAATCCTATAAGGATTGGATAATAATCCCATGCGATCCTGTAGGATCCTATAGGAATCGTATAGGGGTTGTGGAGCCCCTTGCGGGGCCAGGGCCACGATCCTCGAGAGGGGTGTGCCGAAATGAACCTTCGGTGGAGATCCCTGTGAGACTAAGGCCACGATCCTCGAGAGGGGTGTGCTGAAATGAACCTTTGGTTGCTGGTTGCTGGGCGGGGGGCCCGGGGCAACAAGGTCACGTGTCAATCAACAAATACAACGCATGTATCATAATAAACCAAACATAATATAGCCAGGAACATATCCAAAAGGAATGGAATGGACAGTTACAGATAACAGATGTGATAACGAGTATAATGAATGAGTATAACTATATAATCTGAGAACAAGGAAAAGAGAGGGGCAGGCATAGAAAGAGAGAACAAATGAGTCATGGAGAGACAAAGAGAGAGGGGAAACTGTAAAGAGAGAAAGAAGGAGACACGGTTACAGACAGACACAAAGATAGACATACGGAAGCAGGCACGGAGCGAAGAGATGGACGCGCACTTGGACAGAGGTCCGCCAGCGTGCCTTCAGCACGTAGTGGTGTGCTCCAGAGTCATAGGTCATAACAATGTGGGTGTTCCAAGTGACTGTGGGACTCTGTAAGAAGCCCTGGCCAACAAATTGTCAGAATTCTGCAACACGCCCTGGCATTTTCGGGCGAATGCCAAGTCGAAGCTCACAGGCCCCAGGATGTCCAAGAAGGGAGTTCGACGAAAATTTGGGGCCACCCTCTCGAAGATGGCCCCCGAAAGCGTCCTGGGGGACCCGAGGAGCGCCCAAGTGGCCCTCGGACCTCACAAGAGGCGGGGCCCCAGAGAGGCCTTTCAGCAGGAGACCCCAAGATGCATCCAAGATGCCTCTTGTCCACGGCGAAGAACACTCGTATTCGCAGCCCCGTGGTTACCCACAGGATCTCGGCGCGCGAGACTTCAGTGGAGCACTCTGGCCCTAAATTACTTGCCCGTCGGCCTATCGCGCCGCCCCTGCGCCTAGGAACTACGTACTTATCCTTCCAAGATGGCTCAAAGAGGGTCTCCAAGAGAGGCTCGCGCCTCCTCCCCCCAGCCCTCCCCCTGTCCCTGCTCAGGTGGGCGCGGCCGGGGCCGACAACTGCAACCCAGACGACGGCGGCCCGACAACAAACCACCGCCCCCTCCTCCAGTTGGTGGTGTGGTTGTGCGGTACGCTTACGCTTCAGAGCCGAACGCAGGAGATATCTCCCGCCCCCCCGTCGCCCGGCCGCCGCTCCTGGCGGAGGGCGGAACCCCTACCGGAGAGGCCCCAGCGCCGGCCCTGTCCAACCTCCGCCCCTCCCTCTCCTCGCCGGACTCGGAACCCAGTTGGTTATGATTGTTCAAGACTCCGCCCTGGAGTGGCCTCAAGTGATTTCTGGCCGGCGTCTTCCTCACCCCCTGCTGCGTTTCTCGGACTTCGGCCGAAGGTGTTCAGGGCAGTGGAAGCCTGTCAGCATCAACTGTAACAGCCAAGTCCGTCTGAGATCAGTGGCCTCCAAGATGGCTCAAGATGGCCCCAAGAGGGCCGAAAGTGCTCCCAGAGACGGCCCCGAATGCCCTCAGGACGGCCCAAGAAGCCCGCAAGACGTCCCAGGACTCAAAGAGGAACCCCTGGAAAGCCTGAAAAGGCAAAAAACAGTTATTCCATGTGTGTGTGTGTGTGCTGAAACGTGTTCAGTGTTCTCGCCTTTGCGGGCTTCTGACAGCCCAAGACGGCCAGGCAGGCCCTCAAGATCGCCCCAAGATGATCCAAGAGGGCCTCAAGAGGGCCCCAGGACACGACGGCCCAAGACGGCCCAAGATGGCCCAAGCGAGCCCCAACACCGCCCCGCAGGGCCTCAAGAGGGCCTCAAGACGGCCCAGGACGCCCAGGAGGGGCCCCCAGGTGGCGGATGGCATCCCCCCAAAAAGCCAGACGGCCCAAGAGCGGCCTAAGACTGCCCAGGAGAGCCCCGAGATGACCCGCGTGG